AATTTTACTCCCATTTTCCCCTAAGCTAAAAACTGTCTAAAATTGTAATTGGCCGGAGGCAAAGTTCTATTGCTGTCGCACGTAACTCATTAGCAACTAGAAATTTGGCTGGCAAAAGTTTTCTTTCTTTTTTTGTGAGCCGAAATGCAAATGAATATTAAACGCAGACTGCGGCTGCGTTTTAATAACTGCGGATTAAGTCTGCATAAATAATAATCATAATAAACTGTGTGGCAGCAATGAAAACGCGCATCAGGGCGTAACAGGGACGCCGCCACGCCCAGTCCCTCTACCCGTTTCTCTTCCGGAATCTGGGCAAAAACTTTTTGCATAAGAAAATGACAAATGATCGGAGTGGAACTTCTGTTGGGTGGTTCGAGTATTAGCTGGAAAAGTTACAGTGATGGCTTGAAAGGGAGAGAGAGAGGAAGAGAGTGCGAGAGAGACGGCCATGAAAAGCGCGACAATGAGGTTTTCCTTTGTTGGGGTAGAAAAATTCTTGGACTTTGTTTCGCGCAATTTGCGATTCTTTTTCTTTCGCTCTTCTTTTGCGTAATATTTCACTGGGCTTAAATGGCAGGCGATGCTCGCAATTTTTCTCATTTCTTACAAAATAGTTGGCTCTTTGGTTTTAATATCCCGGCTAAATGTGCGTCTAATTATGCCAACAATTAAATGCGAACTTTGATAAATGAGCAGGAACTCGCAGGAGGAACTTCATTGACGGCGGATCATCCTGAAGCAAGAATTTACATGCCAACGGCGTGCCTGACTTAACATGCAATTCAATTAATTTTTATCTTATCTGCAGAAGAACACTGAAGAGAAAGGCAAATGAAAAAAGTCTTCCAAGAACAACGCACAAATTACTGCTACGCTTATCAGTCAATTAGCCGAGAGATAAGGCAAACAAGCGACGTGAACATAGCGCAATTCCGAGGGTAAAAAACTGGGCTCTCGACTCTCATGGGGATTGACAGTAAAACATGTCAGCCCGCAGGCCTCGGCCGAAATGTGGGTAACAATGCCACCACGTTCGCTTATCGAGTTGCGCTGTCAACGCATATCTTTTAATTTCAAGTGTTTTCCTGCTCAACTTCTATCTGCCTGTCTGCCTTTGACTCAAAGCTCAAGTAAATTGTTTCCATCTATGACAGAATTTGTGGCAATAACAATCGGATTGTCTTGGCACAAATGAGTAATGAAAGCTACTGTTGCTGCCTGCAAATATTATTTCTGTAAGATATATATATATATATCTAGACTCAATTTCTGTTGAAACCGCAGCTCATTTAACCAAGCAACACGCAAAATTGTAAATACGTTGTACGCATTAAATTTGATGGTGAAATTAATTTGAAGATTCGAAAACTACATTTTATAGTTAACTCAATATTTGAAATGAGCTGACTGTGTGATAAGTTGTTTAGTCATACGAGGCCTTAGCAGCTTACCCGCTTAGTCGCAAATAAACATTTATAAATGGCAAATGTGATTGCTTGAATATACGATCTACAAATAGAATCTTACTTAGTAAAATATTTATACACGCTTAATTGGAGTTTGTTTGCAACTTTGTTAAAGGTGTACGCTAGCATTTATCGCTCACTCATTAATTGGAACAAATTTAGTCAGTAAAACATTTTGATCTATGAGACGGGATGATACTTTTTTGATGGTGCTTCCTCAGGCTGCAGCTTATCAAAGTGGTATTGATGTATTTGCTAATAATAATGAGTCAATGAAACATTTAAAAATTAAGCTAAAAGAGATTTGAATGTTGGGGTTATGGAACAATGAGACTCTTATGCTGCAAAGCGAAGGTGATAACAAGAATCTTTGCAGATCGAGGACGAGAGTCAGGCAGAGGCAGGGAGAGATATTTACGCTAAAGAATATGACACATAACATACCCCGTAAAGATACCACATATGCGCTTGCTAATAATGAAAGAAAATGCTATCTCAAATAATAATAATAAAGCAAATGCTGTCACTCATTGTTCTTTCTTCACATGCTTTAACAATTTGGGCGTGTGAATATTTGTTGTTGGCTCATAAAATTAATTTTGTGTTGCCTGTTGCCCTATCTGAGTTTCCTGTTATCTCAAGCATTAAACTTGAAGCCCTGACATAATTTAAAAAATACGCTTGACAATACCTGATGCGACCCCGTTGTCAGATACTTATCTCTCGATTACGTACACTTTACTTTCCATTTCAATTGGATCTCAGGTGGGTAAACCATTTGCCCTCGCTAATCAAATGAAATTGATAATTCAGTATTAAAGTTTAACTGGAAAATAAATAGATATATATGTGCATTTGCTTATGTGAAATGAATATAGTTTTATTTGAACGGCAGCACATTGCGTGCATTGCGCATACGCCACGTGGCCCAGCGAGACGTGAATTTTAATTAACAAAAGCATTTAAATGGAAATCGCTAGCACCGCAGGCAACAACAAGGACCATTTGAATGGCCAGCAGCTGCAATCCGTTCCCAAATAGCGAATTTGCGTCATTGTAAATCGGAAAAATTCAAAAATACAAATAAAATACCAAACGAGCTCTGTGCATTGCATGACATCTCATCAATTATAGATTGTCTGATCCAAATAATTGTGTATGTGATTGCTCTTGAAGTAGTTTGCAAAATAATTTGACCAATAGCTGCAAATGACACGAGTCCAAATCCCTGATTATACGCGCCACCAACTGTCAAACAAATTAGTTGCAAATCCCCGGTTACGAATATAAAAAGACTGTACATGCATGTGGACAGCAATTGTTGTTAGTTTGCGATGTTATTCTAATGCTTATTTCAACTGTAAGCCACTCGTTCGCTCTTCTACTTTCGCTGGCCATAAATTTTTCGCTGTGGCTGGCAACTCTAATCGCTCCACTTTTTGCAGAAACTTTTACAGCTGAGTGAGGACATGACATGTGCTCCCTCTTGCTCTCTCTCATTCTCTCTTGCATTTTGCTGCTCTCTTTTGCTCTGCTTTTCAATTTATTTACACACACAGACAACGGAAATTGCCAACTGTGGTGCAGGGTGGTGCTGTGGTTGGCTGGTTGGTTGGCTGGCTGGTTGGAGGGCTCTGCCAGGTCGGCGATGCCACTTGAACCCAACGAGCCATAACAAAAGGCACACGAAGTAATTAACTTGTATTTATTGTATGCACACATCAGAGTGAAGGGGGCAGGGCGCCCTCTCTCTAGTGTGCGTGTGTGTGTGTGTGTGCGTCTGTCTCTGGCATGGCTGGCTTTTCTAATTGATAAGCTGGCCCTGGCTCTAAGCTCAGCATGTTCATTCAATTACTTGGCCTAGACCCAAGGCTGCATTTGACCAGCTAACTGCAACCGATCTGCTGCGCGCATTACGCGGCCCAGCTAGTACTTAATGTTTATTACATTTTCCATTTAAACATCAGGAGAGGAAGAGACGCAGTACCTCAAGGAAAAAATGTTGAAACATAAAAGTAAACAAGTACTCTTTTTCCTGCTCTTCAAATTCACATTTCAATCAACAACAAAAATTAAAAATATACAACATACATTACATTTAATAAAGAAACGGATATTGAACTGAATTGAGTACTTGTGTATTTTAGGCAAACTTTAAATATACCGCTACAGGTAGCATTTAATCTGAAGTAAAGATAAGGAGTTCACTTATTATCGAGCAGTATATCTGTGTTGCTATAAATAAGTATTGATAATTTAAAATTGGCCCCGGCAAGTATCGAATATTTTGCATTAAAGAAAATCTATTGATAAGAATTGATTGAAAAAATTGAAATTAAAAATTAAAGATTAAAAACGATTTTTGCGATTTCGTACGAAATTTTCAATTTAAATTCAGATATTAATTGATATAATTAAAAAATTTTGTAAGCTTTTACGAGTAACTTTAAATATTATAAATATTTTAATGAATTTTTAAATTGAATTGAAAAAGCATTGTGGAAAACCAGAGGAAAAAGGTTTTTATAAAATTCATAAACAAGCTTGAGGGTGTGTGAAGGTGAAGGTGTGTAAAGCAAAACGTGTGAATTGTTTTTATTAAAAATAGTTCCACATTGAAAACAATAATAAAATTACAGCACATTGAAATCAGACATAAAATTGCTTTGAATTAATTATTATTTAAGGCAAACAAGCAGAAGTATTGAATTAAAATGTTGTTTCTTTTTTCTACGTTATTAGAATAAACCAGCAAAAACTTATAACTGAAAGTCTAAGCCGGATTTGTATGTTCTTAAAAAGGATTAAGTAGTAATCCTTGGATAAATTGATTACTTGTTTAATATTTTAAATACTACTTATTTAATTTTTATAAGGAACAGCTTATAAACTGTGAAAATCTCTATCAATCTCGCCCTCCCACTACGACTTCATGCCAAAATTAGTTGCCAAGTTGTGTGGTTAAAGCGTATTTCAAGTTCGTTAGAGCTGCGGCTGGATTCTCATAGTAGTTGTTATTATCTTTTGGCTTGATGCAACAACGTGGCACGCAACTTCTCGCTGTGGGGCATCCACTTGTCGAAGACACCGGCACTGAGCTTGGCGATTGCACTGAGGGGCAGAAGCTCAAGTGGCGTGTCATTTACCTGGCGACCGCCAGAGAGATAGAAAGACTTTGCAACTTGCGAGGGCCTTAGCGATGCTATTCCAAGTTGTGCAATTATATAATATTGACATTAGTTGCATGTTGCTGTGTATTTAATTGCGGTGCGAGAAGCTATAAAAAAAAAAAACAAAAATGTGGAAAATCAATATTGCTCGAATAAATGGCAATCATTTGATTTGCGTTTCAATTTAATGGCTTAATGTGCAGCTGGCTTAAACGTGTGCAGATTGGACTAAGTAAAGACAGCAAACTAAACTCAATTCCACTCAACTCGATTCTTAATCTGAAACACTCACTATTTCTCATTCACTTTATGTCTAATGCTCTCTCTCTCTTTTTCTCTTTTTGTTTTGGTTCATTTGCAGGCTGAGTGCACAAGGAGACTGTTAAATTGACTTAACCAAACGTGTGGCGTACGGAAAGGACACAACGTCGCATCTTGTCCATTGCTTCCTCTTCATATCCAACATTCAGACTGATTCAACTGATTGTGAGAGAGTGTGTAGAAAACTTGGAAACTATAGCAAAAGGCATTTCAAGTGGAATGGCAACAAATTGAAATACGTGTCCTGCAGCAGACGTGCGGCAACAACAACAACAACAACGACAACACCAACAACTGCAGTAGATAACAACTAGAACATATCAGCCTGCCAAAAATTGTGCAGCAAATCAGCTGGCATTCGTTTTTGGTGCCACATATCCGGGCATTGATTAATGTTACGTATACGTCGCGTACGACAATCGCCCTTTAACTGTGACCACTCCACAATTTCCACAGGCCATTAACAACTGCAACCGGAATTGCGGCCATACATACAGCTGTCGCATATACACAGAAGAGCTTCCACCAAAAACTTTCATCATGGCATTCATTTGGCGACGTCGCTCCACAACAATTGTAAAGCTGGTAGCATTGATGCTGGCCATTTGGTTCTGCATCGCATTTGTCATATACACGGATGACACGCGTCGGCGAGCGTCCGTTCAGGAGAGCAGCGGCTTTGGTGCCAGCGGCAACAATGGCCTGAATGCTGGCGGTGGAGGCGGCGACCCTGTTGCACTCGCTTTAAAGAACGGGCCCATTTCCGAGGAGGAGGAAGCAGCAGCCTTCGATGCCTTCGCTGGCAATCGCAATGAACTAGAGGATGTCGCCGATCGCGCCGCTCCACAGGAGGCGGATGTGCCGCCCACTGCAAAACATAAGCGTGTCAAGGTGATACCACGGCAGCAGGCCGTCGACTCCTTGCACCGCAATGTTGCTGCCGTTGTCCCTGTGGAGGACAAAACGGCCCATAAGCAGCCACCATCCAAGGAAGACGGTAAGCTAAGCCGGCATATTAATTAATATTTAATGCCCCAGCCATATTTCACATTGCATAATTGAACTGTGCGCAGAATAATGCTATAAGTAATGATATTTTGCATTAATTCTGACCGACCAAGGCAGAAATATAATTATCGTAATGCTTAGCAAGCCATTAAGATAGATTAAATATTGAATTCAAATTTATTTCTAGCCTAAGTTATGTATTTGGTAAGCATTTAAACCTTGAGCAGCAGATATCTAAGGTTTTATTTAAATATTTGATTTGACTGACTAACAGCTTTATGAGCGGCGCATGCACTATATACACTGAACCGATTATAATGAATTGGACTTTAAAGCATAATTGTTTTTTCGAGTCGATTTAGATTTGTTCATCTATGTTTATACGAAAGTAGAGACTAGAGTATTAAAATAGATATCATATATTACAGTCGGGCACTGCTGATTTCAATTAAAATACAATTACTTGATTATTGAGCTGTTTGCTGCGATTTCTTGTCTGATTTATGAAAATTGACTAGACCAAACCGTAGTACTCAGCTTTATATTATATATATATATATACATTTACAAAATATATTTTTGATTGAAGCATCAAATCCTTACATCTCTTGGTGATCTGACTAATTGACTAACTGATCTATCTAAGGCTCACAACCCAAAGAGATATTAAAGTCTAACAGACTATTTTTTTCTATAAGAATAGTGTACAACAAGTTTGACTGAGAAATGCTTATTTTAACCCAATGATAAACATATATAAACATAGATTATCTGATAAAGATAATTTTTGCATTATTCTTGTCTTAAAGCTAGAGTTGAAATTAAAAATTAGTTGTTTGCTTTTTAGATATTTATGATTGTAACCTGCTTTAAGAAATATCAATTTAGAATCAGAATAGAATACACCGTGAGAATTCTTGAGAACTTAAGAGTAGCTATAAATTCTTTAGCAATGCTGACATAATTTATAGCCTCATCAGAGCACAATTTTGTGATTTGCTAACAGGCCCCTATACACTCCCATTGCTCAGCCCCAAGTCTGGAATTGTCTGTTTCTCCATCTCGACCAAGTTTATATTTTTGATCCCAATAAATTTGCTGCTGCTGCTGCTGTTGGTGCTGTTGCTTTTGCTGCTGCTGTTGCTGTCACGTTTCTGCCGACATGGCATTCGACTTACAAATGTGCAACATTAATATTTATATTGAAATCAGTTCCAGATTAACCACATTTCTCGCTACATCCATCACAGTTAGTGGCAGCCGCAGCTCGCACCGGATTCAACTTGTTTTTGCTTCATATTTTACCTGATTCTTTATTTTTCTTTTATTTTTTTTCCATACCCACTTCGTATTCCTGTAATCAGTTTTTGCTAATCTCGACTCTGTCTGCGTTCCCATTCAGCCGGTTCGCACTTCATTTTCACGCAATCGCTGGCTCTCTCTCTTAGTCGGTCTTTTCTCTATCTCCCGTCTCTTTCGTGCTTGGACTTGCATTTTAGGTCAAGCAGTCCGAAATCGAACTTAGTCTATGGATAATTCCACATATGGCTGTGGCAGAGGCACAGCTTCCGCCTCCTGGTGTCCCCCTTGTTGTTGCGTGCCTTTAAGAAAATTTCTAACAAGTTTTACAACAATGTTAAAGATGCCAACGGCGACAACTGCAACGAGGCGGAGAAGCTGCACTTAACAACTTGCAATTGTTGCCAAACAGCATTTTCAATGGCATTCAGGCTAACAGGGTGTATGTGAGAGGGGGAAATGAAATTGACTTTTGGAGTGGTAAATAGAGAGACCAATGCCTCATGCCTCATGCCTCACGCTGTCAGGCAAGGCATTCGCATTAAGCATATTAAAGCAACAGCAACAACTCTGCCACTAATCAGGCACAAAACTCTCAATAGAGCGCCCTTAGGTTTTGCTCAATGGATTGAATGACTGCCTGTCTGACGGACTGGGGCTCGGCTGGCTTTGTGTGCTGGTCAAATCAATGAAGCAGTCAGCCGTAGCTTGAAAGAGCGCTAGTGGCTAAGACGCCGCTTGCATGTGGTACACGCATTTAAGATTGCATCTGTTTCCGACTTGGCTTTAAGCTGCAGTTGCCTGCGTGTCTGTCTTAACTATCGTGACACGAATACGCCTAAGTCAACGCGACGTGTTTGCGATAGTAAAAATATAATTTCGTGTCACAATATGCAGTTTCCAGTCAACTCAGCATTTTAATGATTGACTCAACTTGGCAATATATGAATATGTTTATAAATATGTTTGCAATGCTTTATATGAATTAGATTACATATACGAGAGTCGAATGCATAACCTAATTGATTGACTGATTGAGGAGGAAGACATTGATGCAATCCTAACTTGCCTACATATATAACTTGATATGTTTGTTTAGAATGAATAAATAGAGTGATGTCAAAAATGTAGTTTAATCGATTGATTGATAATCAATATTCAGGTTGAAGCTGTTTGCTTTAGGTTAATAGATCGACTTTGGAAAAACTGTAAATTGGAATTAAGATTAATGGAGTTTGTTGTCACTGCATGCGCAATGGTAAAAGGCAGAAGAAACGTAACAAATTTAGTTTGAAAGAAAAGGAAAACAAGCAATTTCTGTGATAATTAGAGGTCTCTTGTATCTGCACTAGCAACCGTGCTTGAACGTATTTCGTGTCGTGTTTTGTTTTATATGAGTTCGTTCGCTGTCATCTCTGGGCTTCAGCATGGGTTTATTGCCTGGCGGATCCACACAATGCACGTATTTGCAATTTCGCATATCATGTTTGCATCTCTTGCGAGGCCTCATCAGCGACAGAGGTGGCAAAGCTACAAGTTGTTGCAGTTGCAATTGTCTTTGTTGTTGTTGTTATTGTTGTTGTTGTTGTTGGCTTGCTATTTGCTGATCCTGTCGTGCAGCAGTCGCCCCGTGGCGTCAAAATTGTGTGCAAGCCTACAACGTTTACCAACACTCGACCACGCATATGAGACTGAAGTCCAGGGCATCTTCTGTTTTTGGTTTGCTGGTTCCTGTTAACCGACCACGGCCCCATTGTCTGTCTGTGCTTTGTGCCCTGTGTGTTCGTAGCTGGTAATTAGTGTTGTTGTACTTATTGCCTGGCCTTGGGGCGCTTACCACCAAAAGACGTGGCCAACACGACGTTTATCGCGCGCACGCATCAACCAGGCAGAGCCACAGGAGAGCCCAGTCAGTCAGCCAGTCAGTCAGACTACCAGCCAGCCAGCCAGTCAGTCAGTCAGCTAGTCGCCGTCAAAGTGCCTGCTGGCCATGTCTTTAATACGCGCTCTATCTTGATCTTGGGCTGGTTCTCGTATGCTTTCGCCTTGCTCTGCTCTGCTCTGCTCTGTTTAGTGCCTCTTATGCGGCTGGTGGCTGATGGCTGGTGGCTGCTTGTACTTGTTATTTTTTTACAATTTAGCAGCGATAATGATTTTGTACATACAATGCAAGTGCCACGCCCATCCGCTCGAAGAGAAACAAGCGTAACGCCTCTGGGAACAGCTGCTGCCACACTGGATTGATTGCGCGCGTCCAGTTTTGCCCCATTTTTAATCAATGCTAATCCCCCTTGCACTGTTCATAATAACATAACGCTGATTTAAGTGCGTATGTGTGTGTCTTCCTGTCTATTGTCCTTGTTTGGCGTCCCCGGGCAAGCCACCTCCCCAGTTTCCAGTTCTCAGTTCCCAGCTCCCAGCTGCTAGGTCCCCAGCTATACATTGCGCAAATAACGCTACTTTAGCATATTATGTTCCTTTTATGCTTTATGTCGGAGCATGCCAGGCCCGGCTTGCGTAGGCACCTCGCAGGCATTTGTCTGGGCTACACATTGGTCCCGCTCCACCTCCTCCATACAGCTCCACCCACAGCGACGCTCCCTCTTTTGTCTCATGCAGCTCGCATAACGGACGTTTTATAGCTTCCTGTCACGCTCAGGCGTGTCCCTGGAGCGCTCCTTCTGTATCCTTTTCGCTACCTAGCTGCCTGCTATACTCTCGGCTCTCTCTTCGACTTCTGGTTATGTCCATAAACTGCCAATAGATATGAAAATTATATAGATGGCTAAAACATACGCAGCCGTCGTATTTTATTTGCCTATACAGTGGATGCTCACTAAATGTGGCCTGGGTAAGGCAGATATAGCTCAAATGGAATTTGATAGATAGACATATGTTTAGCTATAAATTCTAATAGAAAAGAAAATGTATAAGAAATCAGTTTCGTAAGTTTTTTAAAAGGTTTCCACATCACCGACCTGCCATAGTTCCCTAGGGATCTGTAAGACTCATTCTCTTCTTCTGCTATAGTGGCTTTGACAAAGTACATACTTCTTCATCTCACATTAAAACTATTAAATTCCTCTCTGGAATCTTCAGTAAAACCTTTTCTATCTTACATTCAAGATAATTTTAATAAACTTGCCATAAACTGACTTTTATAACTCCAGACTCTTCGCTAACCTTGCCTTTTTTTATTACTTCTGTTCTCAAGTAAACTTTTCGCTTAGTTCGAGCTTTCACTGTACAGTCTGAAATGGGTTCCATATCATTTTCGAAGAGTTTCTATATATCGATATGCTATAATTGGATTGTGCTCAGGTGGCTACATTTGAATAGCAATGCGCTGTCGGAGTTCTTGCTTTAATATTCCATGCTCCGCTATAAATAAGTGAATCAATAAAACACATAAAAACCCAAAGACTTGGGCCTCCATTTGCTACCTCGGTATGCGTCTGCCTCCACCTCCACCTCCACCTCCACCTCCACCTCGTGCTCCTGCATAGAACTTCCTTTTGCGTTTCGGTTTTATTGTTTTTTATTATGATGCGTGTGCGCGCGCACAGCATGCAAAATGTTCATTACAACAAACAGGCGAGTGTGTAGCTTAGTCCTTGCTAGGAACCAGCCTCTATCCCTTCCTTCCTCCGCCAAGCTCTTGCATTTCCCGCAATGAAGTTGTAACTGCGACAAATCATAAAATTTATGTGCGAATCCCTCCTTTTTTACTCTATGCCCAGTTTCTTTTTTAATGGCTTTTGTTGTGCGACCAAAAATTTATCGCCGCCTGATTGGCCTCTCCGTTCCAACTGCCACAACATTATGTGGCTAACACGAAGCGGGACTGGGCTCTGGGACTTGGGACTGGGAGTGGAACTTAGACTGGGCTTTGCTTTTATCGCTTTTTATTTTGCAGCCAGCTTTTTATGTTTATTGAAATGATTGTGGTAATTGAAATGTTTTTCATTGTGCGACACACACACACATACACACATTTGTCGACTCACACAGCTCATACGATGAGCGCCAATAAGTGTCACTTCTGGCTGACAAATCTCATAAAAAGCAGCAACTGGCAGCCGGAACAGAATCATATTTCCATGCAAATGCAAATAACAAGATAATATAATGCACACACAGTGAGCACGCCAACTCACACACACACACAGAGAGACGCTCACGCCAAGCAGAAGAACTCATTGAGCTTGTGCAAGATGGCACAGACAACACGTATACGCACCGTCGCACACTGATGCAAAAGTCAACAAAGAGACGTTATAGTTGATCAATTTAATCAGCAATTATCATCAATGTCATCTGAGCAATAATTTCATATTATTTTCTTATCTACTAATAAAACATATTTTTACATTTTGATTCCAAATTTATACAACTTTCTATATAATTTTCTTTAAATATTTCTAAATATGTCTTCTATGATTTTTAATATATTTAAAGTCAAAACAATAAATTAATCTATCTTAACATGCTGATATAATTCGTGTTTCATGACTTTTCTTTATATTTTTTGGGTTTATTTTATGTATAATATTTCTTCAGTGGTTGCTTTTTTACTCATATAATTTGTTAAAATATATTATGTAAAAGTGCACAAAAATTGAATCTAATTCTCGCCAGCTAAGACTCATTTTCTCTATATTACAATAATCCCTTAATTATTTGGCTAAACTTTAAAATTACTTTATATACACTTTTAAGTTTAACTCTCTTTTTAATATTAGTATAGTATATGTTATGTATAAACTTTTAAAGTATACTTTATAAGTAAAAAGTGGAAATTGTTTTTATCCCACTGTGCGCTTGACTAGCAAATTTGCAAGCCAAAGCATTTTTCATTCACGACGCTGATGATGACAACTTTTCATGTCAAATGCATTTGCGATTTATCTTCGCCGAGTGTCGCATGTTGTGCCAGTCGTAAATTTCATGCACAACAAAGCAGGGGCAGCAGCAGCAGCCGTCGCCTCCGCCTTATCCGTCCAACCAAAAACAAACCCTTGCAATTTTCAGGCACATTTAGCAACAACTTTTCACTCAACATCTTTCTGTGTCTTCTTCTTTTTTAGATAAAAGTTTTTTGGATGCACCAGTGGCTAATCTAGAGGATAATCCTGGAGAGATGGGAAAGCCTGTCAACCTACCCAAGGACATGCCGCCGGATATGAAGAAGGCCGTGGATGATGGCTGGTCGAAGAACGCCTTTAATCAATATGTTTCCGATTTAATATCCGTACATCGTTCGCTACCTGATCCGCGCGATGCCTGGTGCAAGGACTCCGCGATGTATCTGAGCAATCTGCCCAAGACAGATGTCATCATTTGCTTCCACAACGAGGCGTGGTCCGTGCTGATACGTACGGTTCACTCCGTGCTGGATCGATCACCGCCAGAGCTAATTGGTGAAATTATTCTGGTTGATGACTACAGCGATATGCGTGAGTGTTAATATTCTAATTGTGTCAAGTCCTATTCTAATCATTTCCTCTTCACTCATGCAGCACATCTCAAGAGGCAGCTGGAAGACTACTTCGCCTCCTATTCTATGGTAAAGATTGTGCGTGGACCGCAGCGCGAGGGCTTGATACGCGCTCGTCTGCTGGGCGCCAAATATGCCAAGTCACCTGTGATTACCTATCTAGACTCGCATTGCGAGTGTGCAGAGGGTAAGTGGAAACGTTTCGATACCCTCTAAAAATCATAGACACTAACAGATGCGTGCCTGCCTACTGGTATGCAATGCTTTCTTGCTCGTAGCTCACTCATTGCGAGGGAAGTTAAAGACTTGTTTAGTTATTAAAATATAAATATATATATTTATGTATATATTCCCAAGCACATACAGTATGTGCTTTGCTTTTCGGGTAATTCCGCTTCGAATCTCCGGATCGATTCTCTCCTCAAAATTGTTTGTACTGCCTAAAAGTATGCAATCGGGTTTGCCCCTTTTAATTGTTAGCTTATGTTTAATGCAATATTTGAAAACTGTTGGCAAAACGCACTAATTGACTGGCAAATGGTTGGCGTTGTTTTCATTGGTCTAGCCGTGTTAACGGTAAATTAATTATTTAATTAGACCACAAATGGTGCACAGACTATTCTCGAAAATGTTCGGGCTTCAAATACAATCAATATTTGTTGCCGTAAGAGGCGAAAAACAATAGCGTAAAATAAAACTATTATATTTTTGGTTTGCTGTTTGCTGTTTGATGTTTGCTTTAGGCGTATTTCGCAAATCCTCAAAGTGCTTTAAACGTGGCTATCAATTGTGTTGTTACATTTGATAGCCCAAAGATGAGATTCGGTGACAAAAAGCAAAAATAAAAACAACGTTGGCAATAAAACAAAGCCAACTAGTAAATCACTTAATCTTCCGTTTTGTTTGGGCCGCACTCGAGCGTTGATAGCGCTGATTGCTTTGCACTCGGCTCTCTTTTTGGCCAAAATTTCATTTTGTCTAAGGGCAAATGATGGAAGGGCCAACACACAATCAATTTTGTTTATTGCACACGAAATGAAGAGTAGGAGATATATAGACAAAGAGAGAAGAGCAGAGGCAAAAAATAGTATCGGAAAAATTTGATTCAAAAAATGTTCATGCAGAAAAACTTTCAACTCAAAGAACACGTGTGCGTGCGTGTGTATGTGTGTGTTTGTGTGTGCTAAAGTTGTTGAAGGAAAACAATTTTTGGTCTTCCCATTTTATTTTGACGTTGTCATCGTTGTCGTCAACGCCGATGATGGATGACACGAGCTGGGCACGAAAGGCACTTGGCAAAAGCAATTAAATCAAACTACAAACAACTGCACTTATAAAGGATCTACTACACTGAGAAAAAGTTGGCTAATAAATGTTGCAGAATATTTGTTTATATTAACTATGTAATAAATAAAAGTTAAAGTTAGGATGACAGAAAACATAACTCTTTATTTATACTGAAAGAGACGTTGTTCTCAAGTTCTTTAATAAATTAAAACAAGTTTATTTGTTAACTGAGAAAAATTCAGCAACATACATACAGTGAGGAAGGCAAAAAACATAATTCCCTTAATTATATTGAAAAAGACTTTGTTACCTTTTTTTTTAATAAACAAATCAAACAATTTATTTGTTAAACTGAAAGGAGCATAAACATCTCCGCTTATTATTTTCAACTTACATATTTCTATTTTATTTTTAAAGCCAATAGTTTCCATCTTAAGTTACCAGCTTATTACCAAAAACTTACCAAGCCAATCTATCATATATGTATGCATATAGTTACTACAATCAGCAATCAATCACACGCTTTACACTTTCCTTAAAGCACGATACATCCTCATTTTTTCTTCTTGTACTCGAACATATTTCATATTTTCACAGGTCGCAATGATACTCTCCGCATATAAATCTCCTCCTATTTCTTCGCCCTTCCATTTATTAATCAAACTTAAGCCAATCTCTGTCTCCCTTTCTTTCTCTCTCTCTCTCTACTCAGCACTAAAGCCATTTGTTGTTTTCCCTTTGCAGGTTGGTTGGAGCCGCTTTTGGATCGCATTGCGCGCAACTCGACCACAGTCGTCTGTCCCGTTATAGATGTTATCGATGATACGACCCTCGAGTTCCACTATCGCGACTCCAGCGGGGTCAATGTGGGCGGCTTCGATTGGAATTTACAATTCAGCTGGCATTCGGTGCCGGAACGTGAGAAAAAGCGCCATAACGTAAGTCCAAGCTTATTAAGTTTACTCCCCCTCACTCAAAATTCAAATGGATTATTATATAAATATATATATATATATATACACATATACATATATATATATAAATATATATATATATATATATATAAACCTCAGACAGCGACCACATCGAAAATTTACAAACAGTTCAACTTTGGGTGGGCTCTGTTTGGTTTTGGGTGTTGGCTTAAGCACATGCCATTATCCTGCTGTGCGTGCTTGTGTGTGTGTGTATTATATTTGCTTTAGCCACGGTTAGGTTAGCAGAACTAACCCCAACCTTTGCGTGGTATACCAAAAATCCGTTTTGCAAAATTCGCGCACACCATGGAATACATGAAGCCCGCTTAAAGCTCGAACGTGACTGTGAAATCCGAGTGTTTGCCATGAAGTGAATGTGGCCATCAAAGCAAACACCCTCTCACACACACTCACACACGCACACCCACACACAATCAGCGAGGACTCTGGTGGTTATGATATGGCTTCGTCGCAGATTCATTTGGGAATTTTCTATTCTGTTCTGTTTTTTTTTTTAACGCATCAAAAATGAGCTGAGATAAAAGAGAATCAATTACCTATGCAAAGAATATTTAACAGCTTTAAGCTGAATAAAATGGTTTATAGCGTTTGCTAATTAAAAGTTTATTCTATTGAGCATAAAATGTAAAAGAAAATTCACTGAAAGCCTAAGAGAAACTTAAAATGGAAATTGAATATTTATTAATGAAATTGAAATTGAAAAATTAAATGAATATTTATATATATATATATATCTATATATATATATATATATTTATATATATATATTTATATATATATATATATATATATATATATATATATATATATATATATATATATATATATATATATATATATATATATCTTACTTGAAAAATCAATTTAGTTGTGCCATATATAGCATATATACTATTTACTATATATTATGCAAAACTAAAAACATTGAGAAACTTGCATTTGTAGACAGACAAAACTTGTTAGTTTTAGATGCCACACTAGAATCGCAATCATATTTATTTTACAGATCAACTTGGCTTATGCAGTTAGTCTAAGTGGCATTTGTTCTAGACTGAAAGTTTATGTTGTGTGCAAAGAACTTGTTGATATTAAAATTTTCTAACAACCTGACCAACTTTGAGAGGTGCTTGTTTTAAGCAAACCAACAGAAATGTTGGCAAAATATTTATCGGGCTTGTCATAAAAAGTTCGTTGGCTGTGTGCTGAGTGCCAACATAAACAGAGAGCAGTCCCAAAGACCCGCTTGGCATGGAAACGCATAAATTTGAATTACCTGTTTATATACGCTCGACACCTGCAGCTGAGGCTGAGGTGCTGCAATATGCGTGGATAATATTTGGCGTGGATAAATGCGAATATGAAATGTGAATGGTTTGTCAAGCACTCGAAACGCAATTCTAGTGGTTGCCATCCAAACATCCAAACAAACACACAAAGAGGAACACACACACACACAAGCTCACACACTGTACTGGCCAAACGTAAATGCTAGTTTAACAAGATTATAGCATTTCCAAAATTATCCAGCAGCTAGCTGAAAGGCTTTACTTGCTCTTTTGCTGGCTGGCAGCTGAATGTTTTTGTTTAAATATGTTGCCTTAACATTTTAATTAAACAATTCGCATTCGTTCTTAATTACACGATTTGTCGTATAATTGCGAGCAGAGGCATGTAAGCGATATTACGCATACGACGCGTTAAACCGGCTGAAATAATGTGAGGAAATTGCAGAGCAGATGGCAAGAAGAGTCGCAGTGTCAAAGTGCAGAATGAAAAGCCAAAAACTGTTAACAGCAAAAATTCTCAGCGGCTGCTGCGACTGTTGTTGCAGTTGCAACAGCGTCGACTGTGGCGTAAATATCTGGCATAATTGTTTTTACAAGCGCCAAGGGAATTTATGAGAACATTGTTGCCGAAAATCCATGCCACATTTGTGGACAGGCGGCGCTGGGGTTAAGAGATGCGACGGGGTATACGCTATATATTTTGAGAGCTATTGTTTTTGCTGTTGCTACTGCTGTTGTTGCTGCTGCTCCTGTTGCCACTTGCCGCCTGCAGCTGCACTTAGCAGCTAAATCAAGTAAAGCATTTCCTGAGCTCCACATTGGCAATTTGCCGGCAACGAAATGGGAATGAGCCATAAATGTTGCCTATGGCTACGGGCGAGTGTACGTGTGTTTGTGTGTGAGTATGTATATATAGACAATGATAATGGATGCCAGAACTAGGCGAATAGAATCTATGTAGCACACAGAAAATACAAGAAAAATTCCACGCAGCTGCGACAAAATGCAATAAATGACAGTCGAAAAGTTTCCGCTGCTGCCGTGACATAAATTGAAAAGCTCTTTTATACCCTGTAGCCAGTTCCAAGAGGGGTAATAAACAAGGTCAACTGCAGTGGACGAACACACCCAAGTTGTTTGTATCTGGGTCTCGAACTTCTTTGAAATTTATAAGCATATTAACTATGTATGCAAGAGTATCAATAATTATCGGTTTTTTGTGAATAGTCTAACTCATTAAATATGATTAAACAGGTCAAATATAATATGCCAACTTTACATCAGTTGAAATATATTTATTTTTGTATATTTCTTACAGAAAAGATTTTTCTAATTATCGATGGCATCTAGATTTCAGTATATGGAAATATGTTCGTTTACAGAAACACACATGTGACATCTTACAGAGCAGCCACAAGTCTAGCATCGTTAAACTGAAGCTTATTTTCAATATACATAAAATACTCGCATGTACTGCTTACAGCTTGACAAGCCAAAGAAGAAGCAGCAGCCGCAACAAACAGCGTGGATCCGTGCTGTTGGGTTACCTTCAGGCAGCTGTTGACAGTCTTAAAGCCCTGCTCTTAACTTTTGCTGTGTGTCCAAAAAGTTGCTCAACTTGTAATGACAGCAGCAACAACCACAACAACAGCAGCAGCAATAAACATCGCATGGAGTATCAAAAATATATATTCCGTAGCCAGGACTATTCGTTGATGTTTGTGTTTTAGAGTTGTTGTTGTTGTTGTTGTTGTTTACGATCGATATGTTTGAAAAGCTTACGAGCTAAAATGTGCGTGAGCGTGTGCATGTGTGGGTGTATGTGTGTGTTCAGGTATCAAGACATGATTGTCGAGCGAGTTTCGCAGCTCTCTGATTACACGTGAGCGCAGCAGCCAGCGCTAACGGCTAATGGATTTGGCATTAAGCTTGGCAGCTGCCATCCGCTTGGCTGCCCAGCCCAGAGTCCTCCCTTTCTTTCTCATCGCCTCCCAATCAGCAAAATTTGGCAAAATGCTCAGTTTTTACCATCGAATCTGCGCTGCTTAAGTTTTTGGTCCTAGGGGGCATAAATCAAGCTCTGGGCAAATTGTGAGCTTCGCATTGAGATGACTTTAATGCCACCTCGTAAATAATATTTAAACAATGCAAGCGCAGAACTCGAAGCAAACTCTCGCAGCGCACAGCGAATTTTTTTTCAGATTTCTATAACAATTTTATTGCCATTCTTGCCAGCTGGCGCATTTCGACACGCAGTTACCTGCCACTTGCCTGCCACCTGCTATACGTTTTCTACTTATTTTACCTTTTAACTTGGTTTGCTGACTGACTTTTTCATGATTCATTTTACTCTAGCAGCTCTTGGGGCTGTTCTACTGTGCATAAGGAAAATATTAGGGAAAGTTAAGCGAAATATTTCTTACTCTTTGCTTTGCTTTGCAAGTGCTATCTCAGATTGCTTTCATTAAAAATCATTATCTCTGATTACCTTAAATATTATAAGATGTCCAAGACTTTATTAAAAATATTAAATTTCCTTTATTGAAAATCTTCTTCTGCTCATGCAATTAGTTAAAAGCAGTTGCTGGTTCGGTTTCGTAGTCCAAATTTTCTTTTATTCTACTCACATTTATTTGCACATTTTTGCTTGCTTTCTGCTCGTTTTGCTAAAGCATACTTCTGGGCGCAACAAATGGCCTACAAATCGTGAGTTGGGAAAATATGCAAAAGCTTTGCATTTCAACTGCTGCAACAAAATTTGCTGCAGAAAATTTTTCGAAGCGCAAACTAACTAAAAATAATGGAAATTCTAGAGCTGCTGGAGCAGCCAACTAATCCGCTCGCGCTTGTTAGTTTATTGTTGGCCAAAATCCAGACAAATATACAAAAAGTACACACACCCACACGCACGCACTGAAATCTCAAATAACCCAAAGCTTAACCACACACACATAAACAAACAAACACAACGAAATTTCATAAAAATTCCAGAAACGTGAACATGTGTTTGAGTCAGGTAGCATTTAGTGGGCGGAGTTGTGTGTTTCAGCAGACAAATACTAATCCAATTATTTGGGAAAAAATAAGTTAGGTATGGGCCACTGTGGCGTATACGCAATAATGCCATAAACGCAATAGAGACTATAGAATAGAGGCCATACAACTAAACACTTTATGCAAGGCCACAAACAAGCATTGAGTTAGGGAATTAGAGAGCAAGAGAGTAGGAAATATAGAAAAAGAGAGAGGCAGCAAGAGAGAATGAGTGAGAGAGAGATACATCTACAAGTTCTTTAGTCTGCATGATTATCTTAAATAACCCTTAAAATAAGTAAAGACAGAGCGATATTAATAGATAAGGCTTGAGTAAATGATGTTTAGGCTGTAAGAAAGAAAAAGAAAGAGTGTAGAAGAGCCTAGCATCTCAGACAGCTACTACTTCATTAGACTGCTCAGCCAACTGCTTCGAGTTCATATGACTTTCATCTTTAATGTTTCCTCTCAAAGTTAAATTTTATAGATAGATGAGAAAAGTAAATAAAATTGCGCAAAGTCTAGTTAACCAGGCGGTATTTAACAGCCCTCAGAATGGGGTACTTGTCGTTGGTGCAGAGTCCTCGGAAGTCATCTAGAGACAAATCGTATAGAGCCACGCCGCCCAAATTGTTGCTGCGCACATAGCCGGCCTTGTCGGCTGCGGTGTCGGGATCTTCAAAGCTCACCCAGATGCCATTGTCGCCCTTCTTGTCAGCTGCACGATAGGCATACGAACCGTATCGCTTGGCGGGGTCTGTGACCCGGGTAAGCGGCGCATTGGCGCCCTTGGAGTAGGCATTGTTCTGGTTGGGCAGCAGGGCACAAGTCTCGGGCCAGCTGTAGATGCCGTGCAGCTGCGTGTTGCTGCCCACAGGCGCCTCATCGACCACCTTTGCCACAGGCGGCAGACCGGTATCGCCTGAATCATCAGTCATTTTCCAGGGCCTGCCGTAGGTAGCCACGCCCACATTGATCTTGCTAGACGGGCAACTGTTGCGCAGCCAAAACTTAACCTGAGCGTCCACATTGAACTCGGGATTGCGTTCGCTCAGATCATAGATGGGCGCCGTGTAATCAGCTAACTCTGGGTTGCGCTGCGGGGTGAAGAAGTCAAAGGCGGCAAGGTTCACAAAGTCCAAATAGTTGATAACAGCGGGCACATCAAAGAAAACTAAAGAGGGGCAAGCCTTTTAAACAATATGTTCTAGAAAGATCTGAGGCCTTAAGAAACCTACGTGAGGAGTTTACGTTGGGCAACACGGTTGTAGATAAAAGCAGGTTGTCCGGACGGAAGGCGTTCTTCACATCGCGCAGCAGAGCAGTGAACTGTTCCTTATGCTCCTCGGAGCGCTCATCCACAACGAAGTCGCTGCTAAAGACCTTCTTGAAGCTCTTCCACACGCTACCCAAGCCGCTGTGCACCTTCTTTGGCTTGTTCTTGGGGAACTGCCAGGCAATGTCCAAGCCATCAAAGCCGTAGGTCTTCACCAATGAGTAGACGGTGTTCACAAAGCGTGTGCGACCCGTGGGATTCTCCAGCAGCTCCAAGTACTTGTTGGGCAAGTCCTTGGCATCCTCGCCAGTCTCAATGTCCTTATCGCCACCCACGCTGAGCAGAACACGCAGATTGGGATACTTGCGCTTCAAACGTGTCACAGTGCGGTACAGACCCTTGCCCAGATCCAAATCCAGCTGCTGGTTAAGACTCACTGCTTTATGCGAGTCACGCTCGATGCCCGCATAGCCATAGATCAGATAATCGCAGAACTGTAGTGCGGGCTCCAGATCATCAATCACCAGTTTACCAAGGCCTGAATACAAAGCAAAGTTTCTTATACAGTGAAAGAAATGATAGGGCTATTGTAAAGCTAAATGAGTGTGGGGCACTTTTAGGTATAAATAGAATCTAAGTTACAGATTGATTACTAATCATATACAAAACTAGTATTTAAATTGTCAAAACAGTTTTCATTTTATTTTTTTTTTAATTATCTCTTCTTTAAGTTCACCCTTTTTAGCGCAGTGTAGTCGAGGGGAATTATTTAATTATTGGGTCTATTCGTTATCGCCCACTCTCGCGCACTCGCGAGAAAAACAAACAACTAAACCTAATTTCCAAAACTCGCTGATAAGCCGTACTTTGTTTCCAAGCTGTTCGACTTAATGCACAGATTTCAGTTTCTTTTTCTTTATATATGCCACATAAGTATTTATGTCCAATTATCAAGTGTCTCTCAGCTCTGCGAGTGTCTCTAGGGATTACGTAAGCACTTTGTCTGGCCCTCGTTGTCTGCAATTTGCACTCCGCACTCACCTTCCTTCACAAAACTCGCCGAGTCATAGTAGCAGACCAGGTGTCGCTGTGGTCCCAACTGCTGCTGTCCCACCTTGCCAGCCTTGGCGCTGGCCAGGCACAGGCACAGGCAGAGCGCCAGAAATGCCACAGTTCTCATCATTAATTCTCAAGAGTGTCGCGCTGTCTCGAACTGAAACCGTGTAGAGTAGTGTTTGCCGCTTGGCCGCCGAATTGAAACTGAAACTTGTGCCGATCGGAGCGACGATCAAAGCTGTGAAGGTTGAGATGCTGTTGTTGGTGTTGTTGTTGTTCGACTGAGTCAATATATAAAGTGGCTGCGGACGACGGTCGTCAATAAAAAGCTCAGCTCGTTAAAGTAAATACAGTGAGCGCTTGCTTTAACGAAATTTGTATTTACATATTTATAACTTTTGATTTAGCATGTTAAATGAGCAAACGATCGCTTATGCTAACTAATTTGTATATATACTAAATTGAAGCTTAAACAGCAAGTTTCATAAAGACGTTAGTTTGATTATATTTTATAGTCAGTTAGGGCTACATGGAGAGGTCGTTTTGTCTATGGGTGCATTCATTACTAATAAAAGTATTTAGCGAAGATAATAAAACCAAATGCCACAGTCGCGTTATATAGACAAAGAAACGTACATACGCCACGTTGGCCAGTCCTTCAAGTAAAGAGCGAACCGACGCACAAACAAGTGCAAACCGACAGAGAGAAAGAGAGCAGAGTAAAGAAGGAGACAGCCAAGTTGCTCGTCACACCAACACACATACAGCACTTGCTGTTTATACGCCCAAAGTGTTGTTGATACGCCAAGCCGCCCGTCCTTTCAGTCTGGTCCACAGTAAAAAAGGGAAGGAAAGGTAAAGTTTACCTATAAAAATTGTTTTGGCTGTCGTCGTCTCTTATCCTTATGTGCATGTGTAATGGGCCTGTGTGGATAAGTAAATGGTTTCTAATACCTTACACACACACACACACACACACAAATGGCACACACACATTGCACGTTTCATTTCATTTCTTGCGCTTTAGGTTTATGCTATTCTGATTGCCTATGCGTGCGTTTTGAGAGCCTTTTTCCAGTTTTACTTTTACGTTTACGTTTACGTTGTTGTTGTCATTTTTGTTGTCGCTGCTATTGTTGTTGTAGTTGTTGCTGTGAAATCGTGCATAACATGAAGCTAGAGCATTTTTGCCTCGTTGCGTCGAGTGGTTTGTGAGCTCTGTAATACGCTGCGTATGCGAAATTTTCTGCCTTGCGCCCCAATGACAAATGTTGAGCAGTCAATTTACAAAGCATCCTGACTGAGAGTGTATTTGCCTGCGTGAGTGTGTGTGTGTGTGTAATGTGGGCTGAATGTGCCGGCTCTTTAATATTAAAGGCGATTACGCCATTATGTCAAAGTCAATGGGATTTTTGCATCCATCAGGGCACAAGCCACACAACGCGATTCCGTATGTAAGCCAGTAATTTGATTAATAAACTAAGTCCACTCATTTAATATTAAATATTCTTTACATGAATTATTCCTTTAATATAATTTTCCGATTTCTTTTACAATGCTTATTATTCAAGCATTTATCGAAGCTGTTATGCCAATTGTTGTTAGCCAACTTCTTGGCACCTTATCGAGCAAACTTCCCTTTTAATTTTCCAAGTTTCTTTTGGTCCCTTGTTCTGTTTACAGTTACGCACAGTGCGCACTGTAAAGTTTTCCATCATTGCCAGCTGCCAAAGCTTGAGCAATAAATCTGAAACGAATTTGGAGCAGGTTTTTTACACAATAGTTTTTAGTGTACCGATTTTGCAACATACATACACTTATATATACGTATTTGCTTTGGGTCTGAAATCCCATTTAAATGCTGATTTCTTTCTCTCTAGTTTCGCATTTAGTCCTGAGCCTAAGCCTAAAAGGCCTTTGTTATCAGATAGCGTGGTTGAGGCAATTTTTTAAATAATCTGCAGAGGGTATAACAAGGTATCATGGTTTGAGACTTAGCAGTTTCAAGCACATTCGAGCAAATATTCTTGTACTGTAATTGATTCCAAATAAATCGAAATTGAAATTGCGTTTTAATCATAGCTTAAAGACTATAAGTTCTGTATTTTATTTTATTCAGTATTTTATTTATTAAGAATAAAATAGATTATAGTATTTTGTATTCTATACCTCAGCTTAGCTTATGTAAAAGAAAGCTAGACAATTTCATTATATATAGCCAAGTACACCCGCCTGAAACTGACTCTGTGTTATGCGCTTTGCTCGGTCTGAAAGTGTTTTACACAATCGCTTTTCGATCCACTTTCTCTCTGTGTTTCTCTATTTCTGTCTTCTATCAGCGCTCGATTATGTTTCATATTTCATCGGGTGGGCCATCAGTTTCATTTATTTACTTTTAGCTTCTGCCCTCTCTGATCTACATGCCCTCCAAACACATGTGATGGCTGTTTAGGTATTCATGGGCATGGCTACAATGTGTGTGAGTGGAAGAGCGTGTGCAAGCGGGATAGCTAGATTTAAAACGTAGCTCTCGACCCTTATCTCCGACACCGGAAGGGAAGGTAAAATAGAAGTTGCTCCAGAGCCAGTTGGCAGTTTCCGATGTATTTACATAAAATGTTTGTCGATTGTCGATTTCAGTAAAACGCAGCGACGCTTCCTACGCTCCAATTTTTTTTTATTATTTGCTTCTGTTGATTGTTGTTTGGTTTTATTTTGATGTCACACACAAAATTTGCATCTCTGAATAAAATTTGTTTTGCTGTTTGTTACACTCATTGCAGAGCATTTGTTTGCTATTTTCGTGTCTGCCAATTATCACCTATTTATGGCGTATCTCGTTTCATTGCAAAATTAAAGGCAATTCGTGGGCGGGGCGTGGCGCGTGGGCGGCTAATTGTAATTGCTGCTGGCTGGCACTTTGAGCATTTACATAAACGAAAAGAGCAAACATTTGGCTTGAATTAAATGCTCTTCTTGTCTGAAACCCACAGAAAAATTTATGCTTAAGCCAGCTGAGCATATACTCAACAAGAAAACACAGACGTCGGTGGGGAACGACTAGAAGGTACCTGAACCGCCTCTCCGTCAAGCCGATAGGACATGCCTTGATGCTTACTTTTAGGGATTAGGGTGTTCACAAAGCAAAACAATCTTTCAACTGCAAATACGTTACCAAATATTATATCGATTTTACCAAATATTATATCGATTAGTCTTAGATTGTTATTGATTTTAAAGAAATGTGTAGTAACCATTCTCTCTGCCCACAAGCAGGCTTAGGAATAATTATCCTTTATATATTTATGGCTTTCTCGTGGCTGTTATCTGAGCAGATAACCATTACACCTCATTCATCCATTTTCGATGAGTGTGTAACGGCTTTTACTGGCTAACGACAATCGCAGCAGCTGAAATTGAATTTAGTTTGGAAATTGGGCAACCCAATGCTGACGCAGAAAAAAACCCTAAAGCCTCTTTTGCCCCACAAATCCCAATTGCGCAGCTTTTGGCTTTAGAACTTTTTTGCAGGCTTTTTTGTTTTAATTAATGCGAGGCCAGTTTTGGGTCTGGCGCAACAAACCCTTTCGGCTAACCTTTTTTTTTGATCTTGTGGGCTTTTCTGTTTTTTATTTTTATTTTGCAAATTAATTTGGCTCAAGTAGAGCGCAGCGGACAGTGTTATTACTTACACATTTCCTGGAAATTACATGCAGTTTAACTTTTAATTGAAATGTTGTAACAAGCGGTGGGCAAGCAAAAAAACTGGGATCCACAAGCCGCCCTGGCATAAAGCTTAGCCTCTCTCTATATATGTATAAGTTATGTATACATTTTCCGGGCTCTGTTTAATTAAACGTGCAACCGACACTGAAAATCTGTGGCTATATTTTACACTCGCCTGAAAGTCTGCTGCACATTTGTTTGGAATGTGGCACAAGTGGCACGGAGCATGCAGCATGGAGCACGGCACACGTTGCACGGTGCTTGTTGCCCCGCTTCTGAGGGCTTTTGTGGCGCTTGTGGTGTGGCCCGTTAATAATGGCGAAATTATGTTATTCCAAATTATAAAATGGCCGCCAATTTAATGCGCTTAACTGGCACTTGACGCTGCGACGATTGAGATGGTCCCGTGATGCGATAGTCAAGTGATGCGATAGGCACGCACTGTTGGTATTGTAAATCAATTGTTCGAAAAGTGTTGTAGGCATATATTATGTATATAAAGTTAACCTAAGACAATCATTTATTAAACAGTTTTATACGCACAAGAAAAAATATAGGTAACAAAACATTCAAAATTAATTTCATTAATGAAACATATTAGAAATTGTATAAAATTTCTAGCTTGACGGCAAATATAGGGAAATAATTTTTACTTACTAAAATTTTAAGTAAATAAAATTTATGACAAAAGTTCTTTACTGAACTTTGTATATAACATGTTTAAATAATTGGAATATTATTTATTTTATTATTTTTTATTTATCTAATTTTATCCCATTTATTTTGTGTTTCGTATATCTATTTACTATGTGGAATTATAAAAACTAAATTATTAATATTAATATAATTTATAATATTTATTGCAATACATTTGGCTCAAAATGTCTTTTTAATTTAAATTGTTCAATAATCAAATAATTTGAAATCTGAATATAATATATTTCCTTGACAAGAATTTTAATATGTTCAAACATATATTATAATAACAAAGCTATGTGTATTAGAGACTTCCAGGCTAACTCCAAATGAAACAGCAATATTATTGAAGCCATCTCCAGGTCTGCCTGGCCGAAGGCTGTTTGAAGTTAGTAGAGCCCTAATAGGGAGAGCGGAAACTGGAGCTAGAGGCAGGGCTCAGTCTCTCATAGCTTTGCATATTAAGCCGTGCAGTGGAAGCACTCGAAAATATTGTTGGCAGCTCGCAGCGATTGTTGTTGCGCTCGTTGTTGCTGCTGTTATTATTACTGGTGCTGGAGCACCGAAAACCGCAGTAAGTGGTGGTTGGGCTGGTTGGCTGGCTAGGGCGCACAATAACAAGATCACGCTGCAATCCCAATAGGGCTCGCAAGTGTATTAATTTGCACCCAGGCAAAGAGCCCGAAACGAGCCTGTGAACAGACGATTTCTGCGTGTATGTGTGTGTGGGGGAGGATACTTGTGTGTGTATGTTCGCATGAAAAGCGTTGCGTTGCTGATGCTGGACAGCAG